GTGCCAGAGGCGGGAAGCCTTGAAAAATGACCCTGTGCATCAGACTGCTGCAGTCTGTGCATTTGATTTGGTCTTCAGCCACAACACGCAGACTCTGCTGGCCAGAGTCCACCACCCCAGTACCGCCCTTCCCAGGAGCCCGGATGCAGATGAGCGAGCTCTGGAGTGCGAAGTGGACTTGCCCAGAACTGCACCATTTCCAGGAATAGCCAAGCCCAGAGGTTCCGTTTGACCTCCGCCGGCCCCTCCTGGGAACAAGTGGGAGCCTGACCTCAGGGCTGATGGGAGGGGCGCTGTCGACTCAGCAGGTACAACTGGAATGCAGGTTGTCTGTTAGGGGAGACAAACTGTCTTGGAGCAAACAGCAGAGAGAACAGACTGGGGCTGGGAAGGCTCGGACCTGCTGCAGCCCCTGAGGCAGGCAGGCGGGGGGTTCGATCACACCCCGGGTCCCGGGTCCCCCCATCAGCCCACTCTCAGCATCTTCCCCGGCTCACGCAGGCACAGCCTGGGCACCCAAGTTCCCCATTTGGGGGCCCCAGACACCACCCCTGTCCCCCACGTGCCAGACACAGAGAGGAGGCTCGCTCTGAACAAAAACATGAGTCCCTCTGGAGAAGGAATTTAAATGACAAACACATTTTCCCATTAAGTTCTTCCTTTTACAACCTCTGACATTGACTGTGCCCAAGGCCATGAACACAGGACACCTTTCCAGGAGGGGAGCTGCCCTCCCACGGTGGAACCATCGACAGGACGTTCCTGGAGACGTACAAAGCCATGGGCGATGTTGGTGTCGTGCTTCCAGGAGGCCTGGGTCCGTGGCACAGAGGCGCACTTCACTGTCACACTCCCTCTGACACTGCTCGGGAAGACCACTGCGTCACACCCAGATGCTGTTCCGGGGGCTCGGTGGGTCGGAGTGTCATCCCGGACACCGAAGGGTCACGGGTCCCCTACCCACCTGGAGGCGCACACGAGAAGCCAACTTGTCAATCCTCTCTCTCTCTCTCCACCTCTCTCCACCTTCTCTTCTCTAAAAGCAGCGAGAAAGTCCTCGGGCTGAGACATAAATAAATAAATTACATTCTCCAAATGTTAATAATTAACTACATCAAAATCTGGAATCTTTGATGCTTAACATCCACCTTAGAAGTAGCCAGAATGGGAGGGGAACCCTGAACAGCAGGAAGGGGGACCAATTGTCACCAACTGGCAGGTGACTCGGGGTCAGCTCAGCAGCGCACCAAGGCCACCAATGACCCAGGCCCTTCCATCTTCTCTCTCGCTGTTCCCCAGTCTTCCCCGATGCTCTGCATGGTCCGAGGCCTGCAGCAGCCTCCAGCAGCACTGGCGGCAAAGAACGAGGCCGCCCTGCACACCCCCTGGATCTGCAGGAGACGCTCTTTGTGCCGAATAACATCCGGGACTTGGCCGACTGGGAGCAGGCGGTGGTGGGAGACTGGCTGGTCAGGCGACCACTAAGTACCATCTGTCTCCTCATCCACCGTGACAGAATCTGGTTCTTCATGAGGATTGGACTAGTCTGATTGCTTGCAATAAATCCACAGACCAGGTGGGTTAAACAATGGAAATGTGTTTTCTCACAGTTCCAAAGGCCGGAAGTCTGAGTTCAAGGTGTTGGCAAGGTCAGAGTCTGTGTGTACGTGCAGACAGCCACGGTCTCACGAGGTCCCACATGGACTTCTCTCAGTGCACACACGAGGAGCAGGCGCATGGTCTCTGGTGTCCTGTCACACGAGGGCACAGGACCCATCAAAGCAGGGCCCGCTCTCATGGTCTCACCCAACACTCATTACCTACCACAGGCCCCGACTCCACATGCCATCACGTTGGGGTTAGAGCTTTAACATGTTCATTTGGGGTGGACACTCATGTTCATCAGCAGGGCTACATTGAGGCTGGACCAGTTCCAAGCCAAAATATTGATTCCTTACAGGCCAGGGAGGTGATTGGCTAACTAGGGCCTGGGGGGAAAGCAGCAGACCTGCGGAGGTGGCCCAACACGAGAAAGATCTCGTGTCCAGGACACTCTGGACCAGCTCTGCTCCTCCCAATGGTACGTCCTGGCCACAGGCCTCCTCCAGCACACACAGCCCCAGACATAGTTGTCTGCTGTCCATGGGGCGCCTCTGGCCCTGGCCCCAGGCCTGGCACTGGCTATTCTGTGTGTGAGTCACAGTGACTCCTCCATTTCCATGGAGCTGCCTTTTCTTCTTTGTGACAATCAGTGAGTGGCCACTTCCCAGGTTCAAAATGGAAAAAAAAGGGGCAGAAGGAAAGAGCAGGGTGCAAGATTTGCCCCTTACAAAGAGTGTTACTTTGGGTCATCACCCAGGAATGGTGGATCTCAGGAATACCAGGTGGGTGTAACATTTAAAATTAATCAGGGTGATTCACCGCATTAACGACATAATAAAGAAAAAATACATGACCGTTTTGATTGACCAAAAAATGCAATTGGAAAAATTCAAACAGGCATTTGTGATGGAAACTCAGACAACTAAGGATGAAGGGCCGAGTCCCCTTATAAAGGGCATATCAGAACATGCAGGTAGTATTACACGTGAGTGTTAACATGTGGGGTGATCGGACCTATTATTCAGACACGAAGCACATGAAGTAAACACTGACAGAAGAGGAAGGAGGAATGAGAAAGGTCACCAGTGACTGGCCAGAGGAGCCTGTGGGTGCCGCACCCCTGCTCCTGGGGCTCCGTCTGCTCCAGGGAGCGGGGGCCAGGGGTTCACGTCGGCTGAGAGCGGCTCCAGCCTGTCAAGCCGCCCAGTGAGGCCGAGTGGATGCACCGCAGGTGGAAGTAGCTGAGGGCGTCCCACTGGCTGGTTGCTTAGCCGGTAGCCGTCTCCCCCAGCCCAGCCCAGCTCCGCCGCAACACCTGCGCACCCCCTTCGATGGCCTTGCTGCGCTGCTGAACTGACCCTGTCACCTGCCTCCATCCCCTTTTCTAGGGACAGGGAACGTCCAGGCTGCTGAAGCTCCTTTTAGCTGAGTTCTGCGCCTCGCAGCCTCGTGCTTTAAGGGCCATGAGCCCCTGGCCCCCCCGAAGCCAAGGTACCCACTTTCTGGAAGCTTCCCCGTGGAGCACAGCACCCAACGGGCCTGCCCCACGTCTCCTGTACTTCCTGGAGTTGCTGCCAGACAGGGCCCATGTGGCACCTGGGGGTGCACAGCTCTGTGGGCCACCGCTTCCCCTCCCTGATGTCGCGACACTTGTGCAGGGCCTGAGCACGTTGTTCTGTGGCTTCAAGCCCCAGTGATCCCACGGTTTGAGTTAAGTGATCGTGGGCCTGTCCATTCAGGGACATCCCGAGTCTGCCTTTAAAGCATAGTTAGTCCTGGCTGAGTAGCTCGTTTGTTAGAGCGTCAGCCTGAGGCACCGCGGTTGCCAGTTTGATCCCCAGCCGGGATACACACCAGGACCAACTGATGAGTGCGGTGATGTGGTAGAACAAAGCGATGCTTCCCTCCCTCTCTCTCTCTCTCCCCCTTCCTTCCTCTATTCCTGGAATCCATCCATTTAAGAGAATATTAAACCTATTTAGTATTCAGTTATTCTTACTAGCATAAGGAAAGCAAAAGTAGAATTCTCAGCTTCCATATAAAACCAGCTGGCGAATAGTACACACCACACAGCACCATGGGCTCCTGGGTAAGTCTCTGCACCTTTCTGTCAGCTGCTCTGGGCAGCAGGCAGCTCCCCCACACCGTGAGGGTCCCACCTTTGCTCCCAGCCCGTGAACTCCAGAGCTTGTCTCTGGAGGCTTTTAGATGAAACTATGCTCATTCAAAGTCTCTTCTTTGGCAGGACTGTGAGGTCTTCAGGCAAATGAGCATTGTCTCTTCATCTGGCACCATGGGGGGACCTGTGGCCTCCAACAGGGGGGTTATGTGGGTATCCGGGCTGATGGGGGGACCTGGGAGGTGAGCGAATCCCCCTGTGTGTTTAGGAGAGAAAGAGGCGCTGGACTGGGGCTATTCCCGCAAATGGGGGGATTCTGGGAAGGGGCACCGCACACCCCAGAGCCCTTCTGTCTGCATCCTGCTCTGGGGGAGGGGCTGAATTGGGGGGGAAAACAAAACTGGGCGATTCCCTGGGTACCTCTTTTCTTACCCAGACAGGGCCCAAGCTCACCTTTATCTGTCCCTTGCTACTCTGGACAGTGCCCCGGCCTTGCCTTAGGTACACATTAGATTCAGAGTAAAAATCCCCTCCTGCTGCCCAGATGGAGCTGGCATTGGGCCCGCCCTGCCCTGGCTCACAGGGAGGAGGACCTGGCAAATCCTGGCCCCTCTGACCACCCAGCTTTCCTCCTCCTCACACACTTCCTTCCCCTCCTTCTGCAAACCAGGCCCCCCGTGGGGGGATCCTGGAGATGCAGGGAGAGAGGGAGGGTGGAGCACACAGGGACCACCCTGACTGGAGCTCAAAGCCCAGAGGGGTGTGACGGGCAGAGGGACCTGAGTGCCACATGGTCCTTGTGAGGACAGGTACAGGTCCCGGGGGACTGGGGACCCAGACAGTGTCAGCTGAGCCAGGCTGTGGCCTTCAGGGCAGCTTCTCAGAGGAGGGACGTCTGTCCGATGGGGGGAGAGGAGGCATGAGGGTGGGGCCGGTGGGGAGGAGGACAGAGAAGCAGATGCCCAGGCAGAGGGGCGGAGGCGTGTGTGAGCCGCCTGGTGGGAAGGCAGGTCCGGCAGTGGCTCGGAGGCCAGAGCACAGGGGGGCCCAGGGGGTTCAGGAAGAGTCGGCATGAGGGGCCTGAGAGCTGCCCATGGGGCAGCTGAGCCCTGAGGCCAGAGGAAGGTCATGTCCAGGTGGGCCCTGTGGGAAGGCTACAGTGGGTCTTGGGGAGACTGGGGGTGGAGGGGGAGGGACAGGAGGCGGGGGGCTGCTCAGGAGAACCTGAGGGTCACATAATAGGGAACTGGGAGCCCTGAACCGAGTCATTTGTGAGGAGATGAACAAGGACGAGAATTCAGGAGAACCTTCCAGGGTCAGCACCGGTTGTTGGGTATTGGCATGGAACGAGGGCAAAGGGAAGCTGACCCCTGGCCTCACAGCGGGCGTCCTGGGGTGAGGCCTGAGGAGGGGTTGCTGTTTGCTGAGGTCAGGCAGAGGAGAGCAGAACTGAAGTTTTCTCCAGTGAGGAAACTGCCACTCCCTGGGCAGTCCACGGGGACCCAGGAAGGAGACGTCAAAGGGGAGGGAGGCAGGGACACAGGGGACTGGAAGACGCCTGGCAGAGAGGACCAGGTGCAGCTGCTCTCCCGCCAGGTGCTCTGTGCATTCCCTCCACCTCTCGGAGCCTCAGTCTCTGAACCAGTGCAAATGGGTGCTCCACACACTCTCAGCAGGTGAGGAGCACCAGGCCAAGCAGGGTGGCCAGGCAGGGCCTTTGCTGGGGCCTGGAAATCTGTCTCAACCTTCTTGGCGTTTTCTCTTGCAGCTCAGTAGCGAACGCAGTCCTGGAGACCTGATTGAGATTTTCCGTTCTGGCTTCCAGCACTGGGCACTCTATGTGGGAGGTGGCTACGTGGTCCACCTGGCTCCTCCAGGTAAGGATGGTGAAAGTATAATTTTTCAAAAGTTTCATTAACACAATGAGAATAACCCAAAGCCAAACGCCACCATGGGAAACCCTGGTTGGTTTCTCCCTGAGCAGTGGGCGGAGTCACTGTACAATCAAGTCCCTCTGAGTCACCCCAGTGGGTCCCGCAGGGCCTGACTCGGCAGGGAAAGACATTCGGGGGCACTCCAGTGCTGTTGGCTGCTTCGGCACCAGGGGTCTCCAGCTTGGTGCCCAGTTACCTGGACAGGGAGGAAGGGCCAATGCCACTTAGACCAGCAAAGGCTCTGAGTGTCTGTGGTCGCATAAAGGAGAAGGTTCCTCAGTGCTCTGTCCTGGGCACTCACATGATTTCACAGAAAGGGTGTCCTCAGTGCGGACTTAATTGTCCTCAACAGAAGCAGCTCTCACGCTGACGCCTCACTAAGACAGTTCTCTTACAGACCACGTGGGTGCCCCTGAGCGCTTCCTTTAACTCCTGCAGATCAGGGGCAGCAGGTCGGCCCAGCAGGTCAGAGGGGAGTGGGGGACGCGGGGGTGCGTGTGGTCCACGGCAGAGAAATGCTGCAGTGAGACTGCTGACTGAGCGCCAGGGCTCCATGTCCCGAAGAGCAATGTCACCCTAACCTTGGACACCGGGCACTGGCATTGTCACCAGACAGAGTCTGTTCTCAGAATAATCTCTTTGCACCTTGTCCATTTTCTGTAGCTCTCATCTACCCTGACAGAGTCGTAACAACATCTGAGTGGATGGAAACTAGTGAATGCAACCCCCGATCAGGACGACACTTTGGGAGGCTTGGAGCAGAGAGCCCTGCTGCAGCCCCCGGGGGTCCGGGCTGGGTCTGCACGTGTGGGGGGATTTCCTAAGGGAGGGGCTCTCAGTGTGAACAGTTGGCCTTCAGAGGGAACCGTAAACGGAGTGCGCTCAGTCGCTGGGCACACTGGTTCCCCCCAGAGCATGACACCCGGACCCAATGGGGTGGAATTGGGGCCCGTCAGCTGGCGGCTCTGGTGTGGGCCTCTCCACTGGCCACTGCACTGTCAGGAAGGTCTGAGAATGTGTCTCGGGTCCAATATAGATTATACGAGGGTTGGTCCAAAACATCAGAATTCATGTATAGAAAAGGTGTATTTATTCTCACGTGTTTGAACTTCAGTCACCTTGAAAGGGTTCTCTTTTTGATGCAGCACAACCATGGAGACGTCCCTTCCACTGCTCGGACCTGTTTTGACTCGTTGATTTTGATGCCTTGTAGTGCGTCTGCCATTTTTTGTTTCACTTCTTCCACATCAGCAAAACACTTCACTTTTAGGACTTTTTTCACCCAGGGAAACAAAAAAAGTTGCTTGTGGCGAGATGGGGTGAATAGGAAGGGTGGGGGCGGGGCTTATGCCGTGTTGGTGGAACATGGTGGGCACTCCAACCGCTTGACCTCTTTGGGAAACACACAAGGGCACCGAGACAAACGAAGAACAAACGTGGTTTCTGATCATGTTCACTGTGGCTGAGCTGGGGCACAGCTAATATGCTCATTAATGGGAGGGGATTGGTCAGCTAGACGGGGACCATTCACGTAACAGAACACAAGGCAGCCACTGGCCACCCCAACATGAACACCACGAAAAATATCACAGCTTCTTAAGTCAAAAGAGCAAAACCTGGGAATCCCCCAGTCACGTCTGCAAAGGAACAGACACCAGCAGCTCAGCAGTGGGTCCCCTCTGCCCTTCTTTCTGGTCCTACCCTCCCTGTCCCCACCCAGTAGTCCCCTACCCCCTGCAGTGCCTGATCCTAGGGTCTCTGATTCCAGGCAAGTACCTGGGGGTGAGCGTCTGCAGCGTGGGCTCCATTCTGTGCAAGACAGCGGAGGTGAAAAGGGAGCTGCTGACCGACGTGGTGGGGAGCTGCGAATACCGGGTCAACAACTTGTTGGACGAGGAGATGAAACCTCTGCCCGTGAGGGAGATTCTCAGTTCTGCCCAGAGGATGATTGGCAAGAAGATAGAATACAATATTACCAGCAAAAATTGTGAGCACTTTGTCACAAAACTGAGATATGGCGAGCCCAGATGCCTGCAGGTAAGACCCTCCTGGGGGTGGTCCCTTTCCCTCCTGGTTGTGTGTTTCAGGTGGGGCGACCAGGCTGCGCACCCAGAGGGAACAGTTGCCCTGAATGATGCAAAAGCAGGCTCTGGGTGGTCCCCTCGGGCAGGGAGGCAGGACATCTGAGAGCCATTCTCGGATCTGTGTCTTATCCTCTCAAGGTCTTTGGACAGGTCACCTCCTCTCTGGGCCTCAGTTTCCCCATGTGCAGGAGAAGAGGTGGTTGGAGGACCTCTGGGGCTCTGGCCAACTCTGTCCCTACAGGGACCGTCACCTGTAAGACACCCCTAAAGGCAGCCCCCAGGGCCCCTGTGTGTGGCCAGGGACCTCTGGACCCCCCCAGCACCATGGCAGGCCAGCTGTCCTCAGGCCCCAGAGAACATGGGGCAGGAGGTGCCTGGCCAGTGGGCCCAGGTGGCAGCTCAAGGACACGATTATGTCAGATCTAGGCACAGCTTTAACCCCTCCCCCTCTTCCCAGACTGTGGTCCCCAAACACACAGCTAGTGAGGGGCAGGAGCAGGATTCAACCCCCAGTTGCCCTGCCCTTCACTGCTGAACCACAGAGCCCCAGGCTGGGGCCGCCCGTGGCTGGGTGGGTGGGGGCCTGGGTGAGAGAGGGGGCTGGAGGGGCAAGTGTGCAGGGAGGTCAGGGCTTGATGCTGAGGTGGGTTGTGTGAGGCCAGTCAGACATCCAGGTGGACATGTTGAGCAGCAGATGGACACGTGAGTCTGGAGTTCAAGGCTGAGGGGGGCTGGTGGTAGAAGTTCCCAGCATGCACTTGTGAAGAGTCCACAGCATGGCCATGGTTTCCCAGGGTCTCCCTTCAGCTTCTGCCACAAGCATCCCCGTGCAGGGGCGGCCCCAGGGAGAGCCCAGACCACACAGCCATTCCCACCTTGACCCCCAGAGCCCTGGCCCCAGGACCCCAGGCACAAAGCCCCCTCCCCACCCACCCAGGTCGGGAACACAGGGCCTCCCCCAGGGAGTGCACACGAGGGACTCCATCAGCCCTTCCTGCCAGTTGTGGGGACAAATCCAGACAAGCCCACCACTGAGAAGTGGTCACCACTCCTGTTTCCCAGGCAATGGGGCCAGCATCCCCGGGGGAGAGGACCCTGGGTTCACCTTGGTCGGGAGGGAGGACCTGCCTGGACGGGCTGTGGGCTCTGACCCGGGCTGCTCACTTTCAGGTTGAAAAGGCCGTGATGGAAGCAGGGCTGGTTGGAGCCTTAGGCCCGGCTGCTGCTCTTGCATATTCTGTAATGAAGAACTGGTCCCCAAACCAGTGACAGCCTGAAGAAGCCACGGATCCTGACTTCCAAACCGCCGTGCAGCAGACCGGCCCCACCTCCGCTGTCTCCCTGACCCTGACTCTCGGGCAGCGCCCGGTTCTGTCCCTCACTTTCCCTCTCACTGACTGAAGGATAGAAGAATTGTACCAAGACCCAGAATGAATAAATGTATCTGTCTTTTCCTTCACAAAAGAATTCCACTGTGTGTTGTGTAGACTTCTAAACCAGACAGGAAGCAGTGCAGTGCCTGTTGGGGACACCAGCAACCTCTGTCCATGTGGCCCTGGGTGACGTTCCTCAGTCCTAGGTCTCAGGTCATCCTCTCCGAGATGGGCTGGGGTCCGAGTTGCAGTGACAGCCTGAGGGTCGGGTGAGACAGTGGGTGGGAGACCCTGCCCCTGTCTGGTCTGAGGCAGGAGCTCAGAGGACCGTCCACATGGTTCTGTGCAGACTGACCTTTGGTCGCATTGGACATCAGTCCTTTTTCTTTCAGGGGGCAAAACACTGACCAGGAGATTCTCCTCCTCCCGCCACCTGGAGTCCCTTACTCCAGTACTGGAGGCCTGTCACAAGGCATGACCCTCCCCCCAGTGACCTCCTCAGGGGCCCCCTGGGAGAAAGTCCTGCTTTCCTCTTTGAACTCAGTGGCCTGCTCCTCATCACCTGTGACTAGCAGAGGGAATTCTCTCATCTCTGGGCGCCCTTTTTGGCGATGCTCTAGCTGCCCCCCGGGTGAAATCTGAAGAGCCCCCACCCCACGCTGGAAGTATGTGCGCTGGTCCTGTGAGTCCCTGCCTGCCCCTCTTCCACACCCATCACGGTTTCTCAGCGCCCCCATCCAGGGAATGGAAGCTTCCTGATTTGTGAAGTTTTCACTCTTTTTCCTTTTTTACGTGCCTGATCTCAACAAATGACAAACCCCTGCAGCCCCCACCCCAGGCCACTGGACCTGAGGTCAGGGGTCAGCTTCTCTTTGCCCTCCTTCAATGCCAATACCTAACAACTAGTGTTGACCTTGGAAGTTTCTCCTGAATTCACTTCCTGGTCTATGTCCCGCTGTCATTTGGTTCAGAGAAGCTCAGTCCTCACCTTCCTGAATTCTATGGTCCTGAGCAGCCCCCTGCCTCCTGTCCCTCCCCCCCCCCACCTCCAGTCTCCCCAGGACCGACTGTGGCCTTCCCACAGGGCCCATCTGGCCATGACCTTACTGAGGCTCAAGGCTCAGGCTGACACTTTGCCAACTTGCAGGCCCCTCCTGCTGACCCTCCCTGACCCCCGGCCACTGCAGGACTTGCCTTCCCCAGCGCCACACAGCCCGCAGGCCCCTCCTTCTCTGCTCCCACATTTGCTCTTCTCTGCCCCCACCACCTGCCACCCCCACGCCTCCTCTCCCCCCACCGGACAGACGTTTCTTCTCTGACAGCAGCGCTGAGGGCCACAGCCTATCTCCACTGACACTATCTGGGCCCATAGGTCCCCAGAGACCTGCACCTGTCCCCACAAGGATCACGTGACACTGCAGGTCCCTGTGCCTGTCACATCCTTCTGGGCTTTGAAGTCCAGTCAGGGTGGTCCCTGTGTGTTCAACCCTCCCTCCCTGCATGTCCAGGATCCCCCAGGGGCTGGTTTGCAGGAGGAGGGAAGGAAGTGTGTGAGGAAGACAAAAGCTGGACGGTCAGAGGGGCCAGGATTTCCCAGGTCCTCCTCCCTGTGAGCCAGGGCAGGGCGGGCCCAATGCCAGCTCCATCTGGGCAGCAGGAGGGGATTTTTACTCTGAATCTAATGTGTACCTAAGGCAAGGCCGGGGCACTGTCCAGAGTAGCAAGGGACAGATAAAGGTGAGCTTGGGCCCTGTCTGGGTAAGAAAAGAGGTACCCAGGGAATCGCCCAGTTTTGTTTTCCCCCCAATTCAGCCCCTCCCCCAGAGCAGGATGCAGACAGAAGGGCTCTGGGGTGTGCGGTGCCCCTTCCCGGAATCCCCCCATTTGCGGGAATAGCCCCAGTCCAGCGCCTCTTTCTCTCCGAAACACACAGGGGGATTCGCTCACCTCTCAGGTCCCCCCATCAGCCCAGACACCCACATAACCCCCCAGTTGGAGGCCACAGGTCCCCCATGGTGCCAGACAAAGAGACAATGCTCATTTGCCTGAAGACCTCACAGTCCTGCCAAAAAAGAGACTTTGAAACAGCATAGTTTCCTCTAAAAGCCTCCAGAGACAAGCTCTGGAGTTGACAGGGCTGGGAGCAAAGGGGGGGCCCTCACGCGGGGGGGCGGGGGGGGGAGGGAGCTGCCTGCCGCCCAGAGCAGCTGACAGAAAGGTGCAGAGACTTACCCAGGAGCCCATGGTGCTGTGTGGTGTGTACTATTGGCCGGTTGGTTTTATATGGAAGCTGAGAATTCTACTTTTGCTTTCCTTATGCTAGTAAGAATAACTGAATACTAAATAGGTTTAATATTCTCTTAAATTGATGGATTCCAGGAATAGAGGAAGGAAGGGGGAGAGAGACAGAGAAAGGGAGGGAAGCATCGCTTTGTTCTACCACATCACCGCACTCATCAGTTGGTCCTGGTGTGTATCCCGGCTGGGGATCAAACTGGCAACCGCGGGTGCCTCAGGCTGACGCTCTAACAAACGAGCTACTTAGCCAGGACTAACTATGCTTTAAAGGCAGACTCGGGATGTCCCTGAGTGGACAGGCCCACGATCACTTAACTCAAACCGTGGGATCACTGGGGCTTGAAGCCACAGAACAACGTGCCCAGGCCCTGCACAAGTATCCCGACATCAGTGGGGAGGCAGTGGCCCACAGAGCTGTGCACCCCCAGGTGCCACATGGGCCCTGTCTGGCAGCAACTCCAGGAGGTACAGGAGACGTGGGGCAGGCCCGTTGGGTGCTGTGCTCCACGGGGAAGCTTCCAGAAAGTGGGTGCCATGGCCTCGGGGGGGCCAGGGGCTCATGGCCCTTAAAGCACGGGGCTGTGAGGCACAGAACTCAGCTAAAAGGGGCTTCAGCAGCCTGGACGTTCCCTGTCCCTGGAACAGGGGATGGAGGCAGGTGACAGGGTCAGTTCAGCAGCGCAGCAAGGCCATCGAAGGGGGTGCGCAGGTGTTGCGGCGGAGCTGGGCTGGGCTGGGGGAGACGGCTACCGGCTAAGCAACCAGCCAGTGGGACGCCCTCAGCTACTTCCACCTGCGGGTGCATCCACTCAGCCTCACTGGGCGGCTTGACAGGCTGGAGCCGCTCTCAGCCGACGTGAACCCCTGGCCCCCGCTCCCTGGAGCAGACGGAGCCCCAGGAGCAGGGGTGCGGCACCCACAGGCTCCTCTGGCCAGTCACTGGTGACCTTTCTCATTCCTCCTTCCTCTTCTGTCAGTGTTTACTTCATGTGCTTCGTGTCTGAATAATAGGTCCGATCACCCCACATGTTAACACTCACGTGTAATACTACCTGCATGTTCTGATGTGCCCTTTATAAGGGGACTCGGCCCTTCATCCTTAGTTGTCTGAGTTTCCATCACAAATGCCTGTTTGAATTTTTCCAATTGCATTTTTTGGTCAATCAAAACGGTCATGTATTTTTTCTTTATTATGTCGTTAATGCGGTGAATCACCCTGATTAATTTTAAATGTTACACCCACCTGGTATTCCTGAGATCCACCATTCCTGGGTGATGACCCAAAGTAACACTCTTTGTAAGGGGCAAATCTTGCACCCTGCTCTTTCCTTCTGCCCCTTTTTTTCCATTTTGAACCTGGGAAGTGGCCACTCACTGATTGTCACAAAGAAGAAAAGGCAGCTCCATGGAAATGGAGGAGTCACTGTGACTCACACACAGAATAGCCAGTGCCAGGCCTGGGGCCAGGGCCAGAGGCGCCCATGGACAGCAGACAACTACGTCTGGGGCTGTGTGTGCTGGAGGAGGCCTGTGGCCAGGACGTACCATTGGGAGGAGCAGAGCTGGTCCAGAGTGTCCTGGACACGAGATCTTTCTCGTGTTGGGCCACCTCCGCAGGTCTGCTGCTTTTCCCCCCAGGCCCTAGTTAGCCAATCACCTCCCTGGCCTGTCAGGAATCAATATTTTGGCTTGGAACTGGTCCAGCCTCATTGCAGCCCTGCTGATGAACATGAGTGTCCACTCCAAATGAACATGTTAAAGCTCTAACCCCCAACGTGATGGCATGTGGAGTCGGGGCCTGTGGTAGGTAATGAGTGTTGGGTGAGACCATGAGAGCGGGCCCTGCTTTGATGGGTCCTGTGCCCTCGTGTGACAGGACACCAGAGACCATGCACCTGCTCCTCGTGTGTGCACTGAGAGAAGTCCATGCGGGACCTTGTGAGACCGTGGCTGTCTGCACATACACACAGACTCTGACCTTGCCAACACCTTGAACTCAGACTTCTGGCCTTTGGAACTGTGAGAAAACACATTTCCATTGTTTAACCCACCTGGTCTGTGGATTTATTGCAAGCTATCAGACTAGTCCAATCCTCATAAAGAACCAGATTCTGTCACGGTGGATGAGGAGACAGATGGTACTTAGTAGTCGCCTGACCAGCCAGTCTCCCACCACCGCCTGCTCCCAGTCGGCCAAGACCCCGATGTTATTCGGCACAAAGAGCGTCTCCTGCAGATGCAGGGGGTGTGCAGGGCGGCCCTCGTTCTTTGCCGCCAGTGCTGCTGGAGGCTGCTGCAGGCCTTGGACCATGCAGAGCATCGGGGAAGACTGGGGAACAGCGAGAGAGAAGATGGAAGGGCCTGGGTCATTGGTGGCCCTGGTGCGCTGCTGAGCTGACCCTGAGTCACCTGCCAGTTGGTGACAATTGGTCCCCTTCCTGCTGTTCAGGGTTCCCCTCCCATTCTGGCTACTTCTAAGGTGGATGTTAAGCATCAAAGATTCCAGATTTTGGAATCTGGAGTTAATTATTAACATTTGGAGAATGTAATTTATTTATTTATTTCTCAGCCCGAGGACTTTCCCGCTGCTTTTAGAAAAGAGGTGGAGAGAGGTGGAGAGAGAGAGAGAGAGGATTGACAAGTTGGCTTCTCGTGTGCGCCCCCAGGTGGGTAGGGGACCCGTGACCCTCGGTGTCCGGGATGACACTCCGACCCACCGAGCCCCCGGAACAGCGTCTGGGTGTGACGCAGTGGTCTTCCTGAGCAGTGTCAGAGGGAGTGCGACAGTGAAGTGCGCCTCTGTGCCACGGACCCAGGCCTCCTGGAAGCACGACACCAACATCGCCCATGGCTTTGTACGTCTCCAGGAACGTCCTGTCGATGGTTCCACTGCGGGAGGGCAGCTCCCCTCCTGGAAAGGTGTCCTGTGTTCATGGCCCTGGGCACAGTCAATGTCAGAGGTTGTAAAAGGAAGACTTTTATGGGAAAATGTGTTTGTCATTTAAATCCCTTCTCCAGAGGGACTCAGGTTTTTGTTCAGAGCGAGCCTCCTCTCTGTGTGTGGCACATGGGGGACAGGGGTGGTGTCTTGGGCCCCCATGTGGGGGACTGTGGGTGTCCAGGCTGTGCCTGCCGGAGCCGGGGAAGATGCTGAGGGTGGGCTGATGGGGGGACCCAGGACCCGGGGTGTGAGCGAACCTCCGGCCTGTCTGCCTCAGGGGCTGCTGCAGGTCCGAGCCTTCCCAGCCCCAGTCTGTTCTCTCTGCTCTTTGCTCCAAGACAGTTTGTCTCCCCTGACAGACAACCTGCATTCCAGTTGTACCTGCTGAGTCAACAGCGCCCCTCCCATCAGCCCTGAGGTCAGGCTCCCACTTGTTCCCAGGAGGGGCCGGCGGAGGTCAAACGGAACCTCTGGGCTTGGCTATTCCTGGAAATGGTGCAGTTCTGGGCAAGTCCACTTCGCACTCCAGAGCTCGCTCATCTGCATCCGGGCTCCTGGGAAGGGCGGTACTGGGGTGGTGGACTCTGGCCAGCAGAGTCTGCGTGTTGTGGCTGAAGACCAAATCAAATGCACAGACTGCCGCAGTCTGATGCACAGGGTCATTTTTCAAGGCTTCCCGCCTCTGGCACAACCAGATCCCAGGCTCCCGGTTCCCCACAGGGCCGCCTCTCAAGTCCACAGCAGGCTGAGGGCCACACAGGGGCCAGGAGGTCCGCCCATGCACACTCTCACCAGGGGATGAGCAAGGGGTCCCCAGGCAAGCAGCAGCTGGCCAGGCAGGGCCTCCGCTGGTGCCTGGGAATCTGTGCACACCTTCCGGGAGTTTTCTTTGCAGTTTTGAGAACCAAAGCCTGGAGACCTGATTGAGATTCACGCAGGTGGACTCATCCACTGGGCCCTCTACCTGGGAGATGGCTCCTCTAAGTAGGGCTGTTGAAAGTATTATTTTCAGAAGTTTCTTAACACGATGAGGACAATTCAAAGCCAAATACCACCATGGGAAACCCGAGTTTTTTGTCCCTGAGCAGCACGTGGACTCCATGCACATTCATATCCCTCTGAGTCATCCCGATGGGTCCCCCAAGTCTCGACCCAGCAAGGAAAGAGATGTGTGAGCTGCCTTGGTACCAGGGGTTCTCCACTGCCCGGTTGCCTGAGCAGGAGGAGGCTGATGTCACTTAAAGCAGAGAAGGCTCTGAGTGTGCTGTGTCTGTTCGTGAGGGGCGTGGGGAATTCTTATGGGAGGGGCTCTCAGTGCAAACCTCAACTTTCAGATGGAACCCTAAACTGAGTGCGCTCAGTGCACTGGGCGCACTGGTTCCCCCCAGAGCATGACACCCGGGCCCAATGGGGTGGAATTGGGGCCCGTCAGCTGGCGGCTCTGGTGTGGGCCTCTCCACTGGCCACTGCACTGTCAGGAAGGTCTGAGAATGTGTGTCGGGTCCAATATCTGTCACGAAGTGACCGTGATAATCTTGACTCTGAAACTGAAAAGGACAATAGGGAGGTGCCGTGCCAACAGTCACCCTGCAGAGGGTCTGACACACTGTGGGCCCCGACGCCACGTCCATCCCTCCTCGAAACCACACGTCACCAGGGTGGACACGGGACACGTGTGATACGTGATCATGGTTCACGGTGGCTCGGCTGTGGAACAGCCTGTGTGCCCAACAGAGGGTGTTGGTCAGCTAGATGGTGACCATTCACGTAGCAAAGCACAAGGCAGTCGCTGACCACCCCAACTTTATAATGTGAAAAAGGACCCACGGCTAGTGAGGTCACAACAGAGAGATGCATGAATCCCCCCAGTCACCCCTGAGAAGGGTCAGACACCAGAGCTCAATGGGGGTCCCCTGTGCCCCTTCCTTCTCTTCTTAGTCTTCGCTCTCCCTCCTCCCTGTCCTCCCCCTGCAGTGTCTGGTCCTCCTGTCTCTGCTTCCAGGCGGGTCCCCAGGGTCAGGCTCCTCCAGCAGCAGTGGCCTTCTGACCGGGAAATGGGCGGTGAGAAGGGAGCTGCTGACCGGTGTGGTGGGGAAGGCTCGGCGTCCAGGCAACAACTACTGGGACCAGGTGTGCGACCCGCAGTCCGTGGGCCGGGTTCTCAGTTCTGCAGAGCGGGTGACTGGCAAGAAGTTGAAATGCCACCTTCTGAGCAGAAGTGAGACATCCTGTCACAAAACTGAGATATGGCAAGGCCTTCCGCACACAGGTAGGGCCCTCCCCGTGGTGGCCCCTTTCACCCCTGGAGGTTGCTGTGGGTGTGCGCCCAGACGGAATAATTACCCTGAATGATGCAAAAGGGGGCTCTCGGGGTCCCTGTAGCTGGGAGTCAGGATGTCTGAGAGCAGGTCTGGGGTCTGCTTCTCATCCTCTCAGGGTCTTTGACGGATTATGTCCAGAGTTCACAGCCCCCGAGACTGGGTGGGTGGGGGCCTGGGTGAGAGAGGGGGCTGGAGGGGCGGGTGGGCAGGGAGGTCAGGGTTTCATGCTGAGGTGGGGTGTGTGTGGCCAGTCAGACCTCCAGGTGGACATGTTGAGCAGCAGATGAACACGTGGGTCTTGAGTTCAAGGCTGAGGGGGGCTGGTGATAGAAGTTCCCAGCATGCACTTGTGAAGAGTCCACAGCGTGGCCATGGTTTCCCAAAGTCTCCCTTCAGCTTCTGCCACAAGCATCCCCGTGCAGGGGCGGCCCCAGGGAGAGCCCAGACCACACAGCCATTCCCACCTTGACCCCCAGAGCCCTGGCCCCAGGACCCCAGGCACAAAGCCCCCCTCCCTACCCACCCAGGTCGGGAACACAGGGCCTCCCCCAGGGAGTGTACACAAGGGACTCCATCAGCCCTTCCTGCCAGTTGTGGGGACAAACCCAGACAAGCCCACCACTGAGAAGTGGTCACCACTACTGTTTCCCAGGCAATGGGGCCAGCATCCCCGGGGGAGAGGACCCTGGGTTCACCTTGGTCGGAAGGGAGGACCTGCCTGGACGGGCTGTGGGCTCTGACCCGGGCTGCTCACTTTCAGGTTGAAAAGGCCGTGATGGGAGCAGGGCTGGCTAGAGCCTTAGGTGCAATTGCTACTCTTGCATATTCTGCAATGAAGAACTGATCCCCAAACCAGTGACAGCCTGAAGAAGCCACGGATCCTGACTTCCAAACCGCTGTGCAGCCGACCGGCCCCACCTCCGCTGTCTCCCTGACCCTGGCTCTCGGGCAGCGCCCAGTTCTGTCCCTCACTCTCCCTCTCACTGACTGAAGGATGGAAGAATTGTACCAAGACCCAGAATGAATTAATGTATCTGTCTTTCCCTTCACAAAGGAATTCCACTGTGTGTTGTGTAGATTTCTAAACCAGACAGGAAGCAGTTCAGCGCCTGTTGGGGACACCAGCAAGCTCTGGCCATGTGGCCCTGGGTGACACTCCTGACTCCAAGGCCTCAAGTCCTTTTCTCCAAGATGGGCAAGGGTCTGAGTCACAGTGACAGAGTGCAGGTCTGATGAGCCGGTGGGTGGGAGACCCCTGCCCTGTCTGGTCTGAGGCAGGAGCTCAGAGCACCGTCTGTGTGGTTCTGTGCAGACCAACCCTTGTTCCTGTTGGACCTCAGTCCTTCCACTCTCTTGGGACAAAACACCAAACATGAGATTCTACCTCGTGGAGTCCTGCCCTCTGCCAACCGCTGGGAGTCCTGGGATCTGCCGACCGCTGCCTGCGTGCTGGGGTTGGTCCGGCCGCTTTCTCCTGCATGACCCCACTCTGCAAACCGCTAACTCCACCCCTCTTACCGGTCTGGCTGAATGGTTCGTTGTTGTCGGACTTCTGTACAGTTCAATTTTCTGTGTTTTGGTTGTGTTTTTATTACTAAAACTTTGTTGACTTTAAACTTGGTTGTGCAAGGAAGCACAGTGTTTCCACCTATGCCTCCATCTTGGCTGGAAGACCCCAAAAAGTAACTAATTTTTATAAGGTAACAGAAGTATTTCACAATATATTGATTTCTCTTTATAGCCAAATATTTTAATTATACAGTTTTGCATTTCCAAATACTTACTGTCTTTTATCAGACCTACTTGGTCATTTAAAACTATTCCCTTTCTCCTCATTCAAATGATTCACTTGTGTAATTTCTTCTGTCATATAAATGTATATTAAATGTATTTATTTTAAAATGTCTCTAATAATTCCAATATGGAAAGGCTTTGCTGGTTATTAAGCTGTTTTTCTCCTACTATGTCGTAATAACAGTGGCTTATGTCTTGTTTGGTTTCATTTTGCTCATTAGCTCTAAACTTTTCGCTGACATGTCATAATCCCTGAACTTTTCTGAGAAAATACTTCTTCAGAGAAGGCTTGCATTCCCTGCAGCAGCTGCCAAGGGGCACAGACATGTTATTCTTTTTTTTTTTTTTTTTTTTTTTAGTTACTTTTCAAGTACATTTTTTTTCTCTCCCCCCCCCCCCCCGCCCCGTCTCCCCACCTCCCTCCCATTCCCCCCCCAGTCCTCATCTCTGTGTCTTTCATACTTGTTCCTCAAAATCCCTCCCCCTTTTTCCCCTTAAGTTCCCTTCCCTCTCCCCTCTGGTCGCTGCCCACTTGTTCTCTATTTCAGCGTCTTTGTTTTTATTCTGCTTGCTTGTTTGTTTTGTTGTTTAGCTTCCTGTCAAAGGTGAAATCATATGGTATTTGTCCTTCAATGCCTGGCCTATTTCACTCAGCATAATGCTTTCCAGTTCCATCCATGTTGTTGCAAAAGGTAGTAGCTCCTTCTTTCTCTCTGCTGCATAAAATTCCATTATTCTTTTTATACTCACCCAAGGACAATTTTCTTTCCATTGCTTCCAGAGACAGAGAAGGGGAGAGCAATGCGACCACACCTGGGCTGGTGCACGTCCCGACCGGGGTCGTGCTGGTCCTGGTCGGGGGTCGTAGTCATCCCGCATGAACATGAACACAACCTAGGCATGCGCCCTGGCCGGGAATCGAACACTCAACCTATCAGTTACAGAACAACGCTCCAACCAACTGAGTTTTCCACGATGGCCAGGCCAGGCACTACCATTTTAGACAAAATATTTTTTATCTGTTTAAAACTATTGTTATTGAAGATTTTGGAGTGATCTTGGTTTAAAAGATTTCAGAAGTTTCCAGTGCACAGATCGCCAGTACATGCTCCGCACACTGTGGTGTGTGTCCACAACAAGTCAGGCCTCCCTCCATCTCCACTGACGCCCCTTCGCCCCTTCCCCCTCCCCCACCCGCTTCCCTCTGCTCATCACCAGACTGTGGTCTGCGTCTAAGAGGTTTTTTTCCCCAATTGTTTTACCTTTTTCCAGCCCCATAACCCCACCCACACCTGACAGCTCTCAGTCTGTTCTATACATGAGTTTTTTTATTTTATTTGTTCACTTTGTTCATTAGATTCCACATATAAGTGAAATCCTGGTGTCTGTCTTCCTCTGACTGGCTTGTATCGCTGAGCATAATGCTCTCCTGGTCCATCCATGCTGTCAGAGAAGCTAAGATTTCTTCTTTACAGCCGAGTAGTATTCCATTCTGATGGTCACTTGGGCTGCCCCCAAAAATCAGTTATTGTAAATAACACGGCAATGAACTTAGAGGTGCAGAAAATCAAATCTTTTAAAACCCCCTTAGGCCTGGCCAGGTGACTCGGTTGGTTGGAGCATCATCACATACAGCAAAGGGTTTCAGGTTCGATCCCGGGTTGGGGCCTGGACGGGAGGTAACTGATTGATATTTCCATGTCACACTGAAGTTTCTCTTTCTCTCTTTCTCCCCCTCCCTTACTCTCTCTCTTAAGACAAATCCAATAAATATATCCTCAGACAAGGATTAAGGAGAAAATTCCCCATGCAGAATTACCCTCTGCACTTCCCAGTTTGCCCTGGGCGGGGTCTCAGAAGAACCGGGTCCCCATGTTCCCAATTTCTCCCTGACTTCTGCCACCAGTGACCCTGCTGAGTGGCCAGTCTATCTACCCTTGTCTATGGCCACCATCACAGCCACCAACACTCTGACTTGGGAATTTGCGGGGTCAGCTCCCCTGGCTGTACCTGCCCATGCAGGGAGGAAGCTGGTGGGCCCCTCGACCCCCCCTCCCTGCAGGACAGACCAGGCTGGACCCATGCACGGGGCTCCCCTGGAAGCTCAGGCTCTCGGAGGCTGAGGGACAAGAGAGAAACTTGTCCTCACTGCTACCAAAGAGGGCCCTGTGCCAACTCCCAGGTTGAAATGTGGCCAAGGTGTGGGGGTTCCAGAAGGGTCGGTGCTTGCCTCGCATCAGGGGCTCAGCTGCTCTGTGAGCCTCACCACCAGGAGGCTGAGATGCGGGAGGCAGCTTCTCACTTGGTGTGGGCTAAGGCTCCCCCTACAGGAGAGGGGGCTTGGGAACAGATCCTATGAGCACTGTGACCTCTGGCATCTATTTCCAGGCAGCAAATCTCCTCTGGGACAGACCCAGGCTGTCAGCAGTTCTGGAGGGACCAAAGGCAAGTGCCAGCTCCACCCCATGCCCCAAGTGCCCCTGTTGCAGGGGTGCTGAACAGTGGAGATGGCTCACCCATAACCTCTCCAAAGGAGCCTGCCTCTGCAGTCAAGATTAAACTGCATTGGCGGAGCTGATTGGCCTAGTGAGGTCACCTGACTCATCATCATCCACCAATGGCCACTCTGAGCCAGGCTGTTGTGAGCTGAGCCAATCAGAGTCTCCCTCAGGAACTTGAACAGGGACCACAGTGCTGCTGTCCTTGCCACACAGGTGGCTGAGCTGATGCAGGAGGAAAAGCCAGGGCAGGGTGGGGGTGGTCTTGAATCTAATGGTTTCTGGAATGAAGAGAAACAGAGAGTGGCAGGAGGAACTAAGGGGGAGCCCAGTCACAGGGGGCAGGGGGTGCATGGTCAAGAATCTTCCTCACAGGTCCAGCTGCTGAGGTCCCAGGCCCAGCAGGCCAGTGCTCCCTGGTCCAGTCCACCACCGGAGTGTCTGCCCGGCCCCTCCTGCACCCTCAGGTCATAAGAAGAACTCCGCCCCCAAGAGAAAACCCCAGAAGAGCACTGAATGGCCAGGACACGCCTCAGTGCAGGGTTAGAGGGGCCTGTGTGAGTCCGCCTGACATCCCACCGTCGGGTGGGGGGGGGTTCAGGAGCCACTTCTACAACTGAGACATTTATTCTCCCTGGTCCGGAAGCTGAGGAGTTCCAGACGAGGATTCGAGCAGAGTCAGGTCCTGGTGAAACCCTCTTCCTGGCTTGCAGATGGCACCTCTCACTGCGTCCTCCAGTGGAGGAGAGAGTTCTGGTCTCTCTGCTTCTTAGGAGGGCGCTTACCCCATCAGGCCCACCCCTGACCCTCCCCGCCAGGAGCTCCTGTAACCTAATCAGCGTCCAGGACCACCTCCAAACACCATCACATAGGGGCTTGGGGCCTCAGCATGGACTGGGGATGGGGGGGACACAAACAGTCAGTTCATGATGCAGCCCAGTGTGTCTTGAACAGAGTTCGGGCTAGGCTGCCTTTGCCCGGATAAAATCGTGTGCTTTTATTTTGCTCCATTCAAATCAGCTGAAATTAATATAAAACAGAGCGAAAGCAACAAAGCAAACCCCACACCTGCTGGCTCAGCAAGAATTCTCTGTGTTGACTGGCTGCCATTGGGATGGTTCCTGGCAGTCACTGCTTTTCCTGCTGGCTTCTGTTCAGGAGGAAGCTGAAGAGGTTCGCGGCAGCCAGGCCCACTCCAAGGACACCTACTGTCACGCCTACTGCCAGGAGCGCATCAGTGACCTGCAGCAGAAGAAGAGGACATCAGGTTCACCATCAGGGGCCTGACCACAGAGACTCCCACCAGAGTCCTCAGCTCAGCAAAGACCTATCTGGCCTTGGTGCTATTCAACAGAACCACAGAGGGGACTCTTGTTGGCAGGGTGGGGGGATCCCAACAGGGTAGTTCCCGAGGACAGGAGGGAGGAGGAGCCTGGGGGGGAGGGATGCGTGCAGGAGGAGCTGCAGGTGAGAGGAAACCAGAGCCCTGCACAGGCACTAAAAGTACAGTCAGGCCCCGTGGAATGGGTGGAGGGGCAGTGCCTGGGTGTGCTAGGTCCGGGCTGACCGCTGGCAGCCTTGAAGCAAGTGTAGAGTTGGGGAACCCACCCCCCTGAACTTGGGCCACCCAGAGCTGGAGGGCAGGCAGCTCCCCAAGATTGGTCCTGGGTCCCTGGAGCTCAGTCGGCCTCCAGGCACAGCCCAGGCGCCCGTGACTGACCTGCTGGACATGCGAGGAGAGTACCAGCAGCACTTTGTGGAGTGAGACCAGCCCACTTCCATGCTGCTAGGGAAAGGGTCTGGGCAAGGAAGGACATACTCCGAAAACTCGGACCTATAGGCAGGGATGTGAGGGTGATCCCTGAGGGTCGGGTCCTCAGCAGAGCAGGCCTGAGCCGCCATGGCCCACGGCACTGTGCAGTGGAGGCAGACGAGGACTGGAGAATGGCTGCTGTCCAGGTGTCAGCCCTGGGCGGGGACATCACGGACTTCATCTGCCCAAAACCCTATTCATAACCCTGTGTTTCTTATATTCTCACTTTACAGGGACAAAGCTACACCACCAGCAAGTGACAGGGCCCAGACTGCCTGACATCCTAGCAAGGACACTTGTACCATCCACAACCAGAAGGACAAGTACCCAAAACAGATAGCAGATTTCTGGGGAATATCATGAATCAGACACATGTGAGGCGCTGGGGAAAGAAAAATAAAAGCATTGTCCCCTTCATTTGGAGACGGTCAGAAACGTTTCCAAGGGTCGAAGAGAAACAGGCAGGACGTGAGATAAAGAGGGTGAACACACCTCAGGTGACTGGGTGTGTTCAGGGTGAGGAAGGGGGCGGGGCAAGCAGGGCTCAGGAGTCTGTGAAATGAGAGCTTGCAGAGGTGTTGGGCCAGGTGTCAGCCAGCAGGATGAGATGGACGTCTGGATCCCACCCTGCCCCAGAGACCGGACGCCAAGGGCCCGACTTCCTGCAGATGGCAGTTCACAGGGTGGCTCTTGGGTCCTTGAGAGGGACAGTCCTGATGCAGGCGCTGCACAGCCACCTCCTGGGGCCGAGGAAGGGCCCACAACTGCAAGCCCTTTTTAGTAAATGCTGGGAGGGAGGGCGGTCAGGGCCCACCTCCTGGGCTGGCTGGGACAAAGTCCCCTCTCCTGGCAGCACTGAGCTTTTTCAGGCAGGCATCACAGGGGGCCTGGGTTTGTCCTAGGGACAGGGCGTCGGGACTAAAGCTCTGCAAGAGTTTGGACAGATTCCTCCTGGGCCAAGGGCTCTGCCATCCCGCACCCCGGCCACCCCCAGCCTCTGTGTTACTCAGAGAGATGGAGGGAAGGAAGAAGGGAGAGGGAGACAAGCAGGCAAGGGAATGAGTTGCCTGCCCTGGAAGGAGTTCAGAGAGAGAGGCACCAAGGACAAAACCACACGGATGGACAGCCCTCCTGCCAGTCCCTCAGGAACACAGCACAGGGCCAACCACCCCTGAAAAGTGGGGGCCTCCCAGCTTGGCCTTTGGGGTTTCAGCAGGACAGGTGATAAGGCAGCACCCCCCACCCCAGCCTGCTGCCCCTCTGGACCAGAAACAGCTCAAAGGAGGGAGACGCCCCAGCAGGGTCACTGCCTGGACTCAGAGCCGGTCCCAGTGGGCCAGGACAGCTGGTGCTCCATCCAGGGGTCCCCTTTCCCAGGGGTCGGGGGTTCCTTGCCCACCTGCCCTCTCACCACAGCCTTTGTCCTCCCTCCCAAGGGAGGGGCTTAATCCTCACCTGTCCTGCATCTTAGTGCCAGGGCGAAGGTGTAACTCATTGCAGGGAGCCAAGGAGGAGGCCTGCACAGGCCCATCCCACCCCGACTGGGCCCCTGGGAGGAACCTGTGACCACACACACCTCCAGGGAGGCTTCCTCCAAGTCTGCCTGGGACTTCAGGTTACAGTGCTGACCTGAGACCGTTGCCGTGGAAACGTGCTTTAATGTATTTATTTGAGTTGGAAAAAAAACACCAGCTTCTCCGTAAAGAGTTGTCTGCTTTGGCTGATTGGTTTGACAATAATGCCTGCCCTATTTAAATTACATGATGGATATTTTTGATTAACTGAATGAGCTACACGTGCGATTCCAAGGACGTGAAGAAAATAGCTGCATATGTATGCAACTTACCATGCACCAAAAATTCAATCCTTCGCAATTTTTTTGTGTTTAGGATTTTTAATATATTTTTAAGATAAAAATATTTAAGATAAAAATATATTTTAATATATTTTTAATATATTTAATAAGATTTTTCTATTTAAGATTTTAAAATATTTGATGTCACCTAAAAATGTGGGCCCTTCTATGCAGTTTTTTCAAATTATTTGAGACCAGGAGTCAGAAAACAGGGTCAGATCCAGCCCAACACTTCTTCTTATGAAGAAACTTCCTAAAACTCAGCCTTGCCCATTCCGTGACACATCGTCCGCCACTGCTTTTGTGCGAAAGAGCTGCGAGTCCAGGGTGCCGTGGAACGGCAGGGACCCCGGGGGCCCCGGGGCCTGAGCGCGTCACTCCCTGCCCTTCAGGGAAAAACGCTCGTCTGACCTGACCTGACCTGGGCTTCTCCTCCTCCCGGCTCACACGGTTCCCTCGGCCTACAGTGCACATGGCCCTCACTCCCTGGTAATGGCCAGCTCATTTTGCAGTGTCACATGAACCCAAGGAATTCCATCACACTCAGCTCCGAAGTCACCTTCTCTGTGACATCTTCCTTGAGCAGAAGCCTAGGTTCATTCCCACCTCTGGGCAGTGGCCATCAGGGACGAGAGGTGCAATAGCTAATTGCTGAAGGACTTTCTTTGGAGAAGCCACTAAAGCACCGTGAGCCTCAGTTTCCCCCCTTGCAAAATGGGGGTACTACAACCTGCTTGAGGCACTGTGTGAAGGGGCCATCTCAGGGCTGGGCAGCCACAGAGGCCTTGGGAATGGGGGTGACTTCCACAGCTGTGACCACCCCTAACCACACTGGTCTGCACGGCCGACTGGCAGGGCTGCCCGCCCTCATCCCTACCCGACTGTTGTCACACCCTCGAGGGCAGAGAGCCTGTCTGTCTCTGCCACTTTGTCTCCTCTGAGCTTCTGTCTCTACACCAGCCCTGGGTCCACACTGATGCCCAGACCGTCAGCTGAGGGAAAGGTCTGGTCTGGTTTCTGGGGACAGAGCTCAGGCTGAGGACGCACCTGGTCACTGCGGGAGACCCCGTAGCGCAGCTGGTTCACGAAGTGCTCGCAGTTGTCGCTGGTCAGTTTGTACGGCACCTCCTGCCCCACCAGCGCCTCCGCCTGCTGCACGACTTTGCTGGGAGGCAGCGGCGCGTACTTGTCGTCATGTTTGTTGTTGACACGGTACTTGTCTGTCCCTGCCACCACAGACAGCAGCTCCTTCTTCACTATGGCCTTGTCAGCCAGGGCAGACAGGAGGCTGGAAGGCCCTGCTCCGGCGATCTCACCTGCAGCCCACAAAGAGGAAACAGAGGGATGGTCCTGGTCAGGCCCCGGGGCTCAGAGCAGGCAAGCAGGCAGCCCCACTGCCCTTGAAGCATCAGTTAGGACGAGCTGTGGAAGGGCCTGGCCACCCCGCCTGGCTTCAACCTCAAAGACAGGGCAGACCCGAGCTTGGGTGACTTTGGAGCAGTCCCTGGGCGCTGGCTTCCTCCTCTCTACACCAAAGGACGTGAGTTCTTCTAATGGACCATGTGCGTTCAGATGTCCCTGCAAGACTCAGGACCCGCAGAGTGGTGCAGGGCAGACATCCCGGTCCCAGTCCCAGCTTCCCTCCACTGGCTTGTGGTCTAGAAACTCTCACCAGTCCTCTCTGAACCAGAGCCGGGGGAGTGCAGCACGCTAGGGTGACATTTTTTAAAGGTAGGAAAGGCAGCCATTGAGCAAGATGAGGCCTGACCTGCAAACCCAGCGCCCCACTCACCATGTGGCCTCAGACAAGTCCCTCTCTTCTCATTGGCTTTTTATCAGTTACAAAATGAAGGCGCTGGGTCATGTGACATCCACACTCTCCCAGCTCTAAATTCTCTGATTTGCCTCTAAAGGGGACCTAGGCCTCCTGCCCCACCCGGGTTTCTGGGGAAGCGGGAAGGAGAAGGCAAGTCCATGGGCCCTGGAACCCTCAGGGAGGCAGGTGAGTTTCTTCCTTCCCCCCAGTAGGGGGCGGCCTCTGCTAAACTACTGTGACCTCCTTGGGCATTTCAGCAATTTACCTTAGGGTGCCTATTTACCCAAAAGAAATGGAAATGCATGTTCACACGTATAAAACACACCTGTATGGGAATATTTACTATGGCTCTAATAATTGCTGTCAAAAATTGAAAATTGGAGTTCTGGCCAAGATGGAGGCATAGATAGATACACTTCACTTCCTTGCTCAGCCAAAAGAAGGACAACGACCAGTTTAAAAACAAAAACAACCAGAACCGCCAGAAAATATCACTATATGGAAGTCCCACAACCAGGAAGTTGATGAAGAACATTCACCCAGACCAGTAGGAGGGGCAGAGGTGGGAGGTGGGGCAGAGAGGAAGCCAAGCAACTCAGCAGCTGTGGGCTGGGTGGTCCCACGTTCCCGAGTGGATAAACCTGGAGGAACCAGTGGGGAGCGAGACAGACCTCTCAACCCAGGGCCACAACACGGGGAAATAAAGCCTCAAAACCTCTGACTGAAAACCCCTGTGGGGGGTTGAGGCAGCAGGAGAAACTCCCAGCCTCACAGGAGAGTTCACCAGAGAGACCCACAGGGTCCTAGAACACACACAAACCCTCCCACCTGGGAATCAGCACCAGAAGGGGACAATCTCCGTGTGGGAAGTGAAGGAAGTGACTAAAAGGGGGAGAGAGCCCAGCAAGGGACGTTGTTCTCTCTCTTGCCCCTCCCCCACACACAGTGTCACAAAGCAGGGACGTGGTTGCCCTGCCCTGGTGAACACCTATGGCTCAGCCCCTTACTACATAACACGCAAGCTGAGACAAATAACCACGACCCAAATGAAAGAACAGATCAAAACTCCAGAAAAACAACTAAGCGATAAAGAGATAGACAACCTGTCTGAGGCAAAGTTCAAAACAGTGGTGATCAGGATGCTCACAGAAATGGTCGAATATGGTCACAAAATAGAGGGAAAAGTGAAGGCTACACAAAGTGAAATAAAGGGAACCAACAGTGAATGAAAAGAAATCGGGACTCAAATCAAAGATTTGGAGCAAAAAGAAGAAATAAACATTCATCCATAACAGAATGAAGAACAAGAATTCAGAAAAATGAGGAGAGGCTTAGGAACCTCTGGGACAACTTTAAATGTTCCAATATCTAAATCATAGGGGTATGAGGAGAAGAGGAAGAACAAGAAATTAAAATTTTATTTGAAAAAATAATAAAGGAAAACTTCTCTAATCTGACAAAGGAATTAGACATGCAAGTCCAGGAAGCTCAGAGGGTCCTAAAGAAGTTGAAGCCAAGGAGGAACACACCAAGGCACATCAGAATTACATTACCCAAGATTAAAGAAAAGGAGAGAATCTTAAAAGCAGCAAGAGAAAAGGAGACAAGTTACCTACAAAGGAGTTCCCATTAGACTATCAGCTGATTTCTCAAAAGAAACTTTACAAGCACAAAGGGGCTGGAAAGAAGTATTCCAAGTCATGAAAGGCAAGGACCTACATCCAAGGTGACTCTACCCAGCAAAGCTTTCATTTAGAATGAAAGGGCAGGTAAAGCACTTCCCAGATAAAGTTGAATTAAGAGTTAAAGGAGTTTATCATCACCAAGCGCTTTTATGTGAAATGTTAAAGGGATTTATCTAAGGAAAAGAGGATCAAAACTATGCAAAGTGAAATGTCAACAAACTCACAAATATCAACAACTGAACCTAAAAAACAAAAACTAAGCAAACAACTAGAACAGGAACAGAATCACGGAAATGGAGATCACATGGAGGGTTCTCAGTGGGGGAGGGGGAGCATGGGGTGGAAGGTACAGGGAATAAGCAGCATAATATGTAGACACACAATAGACGGGGTTGTGGTTTTCACAATAGAATAGGAAATGAAGAAGCCAAATAACTTACACCTGTGACCCGTGGACATGAACTAAGGGGGGTGGAATGCTAGAGGGAATGAGAGTACCGAGAAGAGGGGCATAAAGGCGAGAAAAAATGGGACAATTGCAATAGCAAAATCAAAAATACATACTAAAAAACAAAATGCAAAAAAATTTTAAAACCACCCAGATTTCCCTCAGCTTGTGAACAGAGAAACAAAGATCATCCGTCCACACAACAGGACACGCAGCCACAGAAAGGAGCCAAGTGTGGTCATGTGCATAATGACCTCAAATGCATTCCACCAAGTTCAGGAAACCAGACCGAGAGCACCATTCCATAGGATTCGTTCACGTCACCTGCTGGAAATGGCAACGCTGTAGACAAAAGGTCACAGGTTGCCAGGAGCTGGGGGTGTGGGGGCTGGGGTGCCGGGGTTGACAACAGGGGGGGCAGAGGGGAACTTTGGGGGTGAGGGGACTCTTCTGTGTGTCGTGCTGATGGTACATGACCACAAGCATTTGTCAAAAGTCATAGAACTGTGTGTACGAAAAAGGGTAAATCTTACTATCAGTAAATTATTCCTCTTTTCCTCAGTGAAGTCTCACTTTTTACAGCCCGAATTTGGAGAATGTGCACACGCAGATGTACACGTGTGTGCGCGCACCTGCGGGACGGCTGCTGTCACCGGTGCTACAGAACGCAGGGACACGCAGGTGTCTTCTGTACTGGGCCACTTCCCCCTGGGGGGTGGTTCCCAAGGTTTGGGCATTTTCTTGAATGCCTCGGCACTCTGGAAGAGGAGGGGGTGGGCTTGGCACCCACTGGGCCCCGCACCAGTGCCCCCCGACAAGCCCTGCGTCTCCTCCCTGCACCACGGTCAGGGGGGATGCTCATCTGCTCTGCAGAGGGTGCAGCTGAACTTAGGGGGCGGAGTCACACGTGCCAGTCACAAGTCGGTAGGCAGAGGTGCCTGGATCCCAGCAGGGCTCTGTCTGGTTGGGAGGCCCACGCTCCTTCCCTTACACTGTGCAGCCTGCTGGGAACTATTTCCTCCTCCTTTGCCCCTCCAGACACCAAGTACACATGATGGGGTCTTCCCTAGGATGGCGGGTGGCTGGAACTGAACCCCGAACTGTTTGGGAATGAAGGTCAACAGTCTCCCCGTGAACTTGCTGCTGAAGAGGAGCAGCGGTGGGTACCCCCCCACCAGGGAGTGTCGCTCAGCCAGTGGTCCCTGAACGCCACCTATGCCGGGCACTGAGGTGAGAACAAGCACCCGAGTGTGCAACTGCTCACACTCACCACCTCCTCCCTTGTGCTCAAGCACAGAACCCGTCCTTACTTGGAGGAGCCAGGTGGACCACGTAGCCGTCCCCCACGTAGACGGCCCAGTGCTCATAGCCAAGGCGAAAAATCTCTATCAGGTCCCCAGGTCTTGGTGTGGCCTGAAAGAAAGTCCAGAGACAGGCTGAGGTCAGCCCTAGCAGGGAACATTCTAGAACTTGACCTGTTCAGAGCCCCAGCCCAGTCTGCTGACTCCCTCTGACCATCTCCTGCAGGAATCGGAGGGAGCGCTCCTCACACAGGTGGAACGTCCCCACTCACTGGGGCTGCTGGACTGGAAGTGAGCTCTTCAGGGGACAAAGAAGAGATGGGGAGGGCGTGCAGCACGGGGGTGGCTGAGAGGTGTGCACATCTCGGGCCAGAGCCCGTTTGTGTCGGTGAGTGAGTTAGTGTGTGACTCCCAGGGTGTCTAAGTGCCTCCTAAAGGGCCCTGGCAGGTGTGGCTCTGTTGGTTGGAGTGTCGCCAGGTGGACCAAGGGGCTGCAGGTTCAGTTCCTGGTCAGGGCGTCTGTGAGAGGTGACCAACACCTGCTCCTCTCTCTCTCCCCAACCCCCTTCTGGAATCAAATAAATAAATACATAAATAGAATGTCTCCTAAAGGCCACCCTCCTTGTGCCAGGCCCGAGTGACTCTGTGAGTTACGGGGCTCTGACTGGCAAAGCCCAGGCCCGGCGCTCAGCCTGATGTGCATTTGACATCCATCCCTCCTGTGACTCGGTGCTCTCATCACCCACTGACCGACGAGAAGACTGAGTCTCAGGAACGTTGGGTATCTTGCCAGAGAGACCCTCACCTACTGGGGAGAAGCGTGAGACTGACACTTCGGTCTGCCTGTTCCCCACCTCGCGCCCTTCACAGACCGAGCACCCCAGGCAGGTGGGGGCTGAGCTCTGGGCCGGGGTTGGGGCCGGGGTCACAGGGCGGGACTGCAGCTGGCAGTGCCCTTCTGGAGTCTGCGTGAGCAGGAGGTGCGTTGCTCCAGTCACACTTGGATGTTGAGATACACCCTTATCACAAAAGTTCTATTTAAGAGTGGCTCTAAGGTCAGCCAGGCCCATTCCTGCCCTGCCTCAGCCAGGCACTTGGGAAATGGGACGGTTTGTGGGCCAGAGGGAAGGAGCCGCCTGTGGGAGAGGAGGAGAGGGGTGGAAGGAAAAGTCAAGGGGAAGAAAGAGAAGGTCTTTGGAGATGGGGGTGGACAAGGGCGCCTTCCTGGCAGCCCCCACTCGGCCCCACACACCTCTGATCCATCTCCCTGGTCCCTCTGTCCCAGCTCGTCCCACCCACCCGGGACAGTGTGACCGAGGAGGTGGGCCTGGGCAGTGGGCAGGGGCTGCCCTGCCTGAGCCCACCATTCTTGCCCCCTCAGAAAGACCCTAAGGAACCCTCCCCTCCCCCTACCCGTGCCCCACCTCCCACCCGGGCCCCCTGTGCCTGCACTGCAGACCCACAAGGAAACCCACGCAATCACCACGAACAAACCGGGGTACGGAGTTTAAAGGAAGGGCTGCCCGGGGACTCACCGGAGCCATCATCCCTGGAGATGCTCTCTCTGTGCTGCCGCCGCCGGCGTGTCCAGCCTTCTCTAACCTTAAGAGTGTGGTTTTCCCTCTGACCCGGCCCAGGAACAGACACCTGTATTTAAAGCCTGGGTCACGTGACACACTCCTCGTAAGACGTTTGTCCAGGTGACCTGAGGGGCTATGATCCAGTCGGAGGAGATTCATGTTTGTGATCTTTAGATTTAGCATGTATTACAAAGTAATAATGATAATAAATAACTTTTTTAATGAAATAAAAACGTTGGTAAATGAAATAAAAGCAAAGTTCACATCAACTCTGCTCTTTCTTCAAGCAGGTACACGCCAGGTAGAAGAGGAGAAGAGAGGGACAGTCAGAGTCGCGTGGGGCTGGGCCGAGCCAGGCGGGATGGAGGGCAGAAGCCAAAGTGGAAGCGTTCTGAGGAGGGAGGAGCTCCAAGGAGACCCGAAAACGGGGGGGCCGGCCGTGAGCAGAGCACACCAGCTTCCCCACCAACGTCCAAGCCGCTGGAACTGGACAAACGTGTCCTCAGAGGCACACTCGCCCCCCCCCCACGGGAAATGGGAGCCCCCGGGGCCAGAGGTGTGGCCGAGACCCAGCCCTCTCGGCCTCTGATCCGCAGTTCAGAAGCACAGGCTGTAGACCAAATGGAAACCCAAACCTGCGGCCGTCTGGGTGCGGAGAGGCCATTTTCATGACACCAGCACCCGAAGCCCCAGACGAGTCTCTCATCTGAGCCCCTGTGGGCTGTAGCAACCTGGGCGACCTGGACAGGCAGGGAGGGGTGGGGGCGGGGGAGGGCCCTGAGCGCCCTGCTGTGGGCTGTGGCCGGCAAGGACCTGTGAGTTACGTTCTCCGGGCTCTTGCATAAAAAGAGCTTTCTTAACATATTTTTAAAAAATGAGTGAAAATAAAGTTTAAAACGTTTTTAAAAAGAGCTTCCTTGTCAGGAGACAGGCGGACCGGAGCTGAGCCTGGACCACTACTCAGATGCACAGCGTCTCCGCGCACCAGCGGCCTCGCAGCCCGAGGTGGTCCTGCTCCCTCCAGGCCTGGGCCTCCCTCCGAATCTCCACCCCATCCTCCTCTGGTGTCAGCGGGACCACCGGGGAGAAACTCCCACCCTCGATTCTGCAGGGGGACAGTGGGGTCGGTTTAGCTAATTCCCCTCGGCCCTGTCGGCCAGAGCCCTTTGGGCCAGTCGCCACTTGGTGCTGGACAACACCTCATGAGTGTCTGGCCTGGAGTCAGGTGGTCTGAGTCACACAGTCAGTACCATCCCCTCGCGCCATCGCAATCCTGTCTCCCTGACTGGGGCGGGGGGGGGGACCATCGGAGACCTCAAGGTGGGGGAGGGGACAGCGACTAATGGAGTTGTACTGGGCAGAGCAGAAAGAAAGGGCACTGTCTGCTTTCTGGGACTTGTCCCTTTCCACCAATCTGTTTGGGGGGGGTTGGAAAATCAGGCCCAAGAGCCACGTAAAAAGAGTCATCTGTTTGTCCCAGTAGCTGCTGGGCGGGAAAGGTCAAAGCACTCTCAGCTGGACAGAGCGTGTAGGGGCAGGCCACGCGCCCAGCCTGCTGGCTGTCCAGGGCCACCGCCTGGTCTCCCGTGTGTGCACATAGGTGTATTTCTTAATTACGTAAAAGGCTATAAAGGGCAAGGTAAGCCTCCATATTCCCCACCCTCAGCTCCCGGCCCCACAGTTTCCTCCTCGGAGGCGGCCTTATTGGTCTCTGTGTCCTTCCTTCCAGCAATATCACCCACTACATACACTTTATAATGATTTGCATTAAATCCTGTATCTGTAGAGGAGAATATTCGCAAGTGTGAGGTGTGGGAAGTAACAATGATGTTGCCAGCTGTGTACTGGAAACAGCGAGGGAACCTTCTGTACAGTGCGTGATCATCTAACCGCTACGCTGTACGCCTGAAACTAATACAAAATAGTATCAGCTGTAAACGTCAACTTGATTGAAAAACAACATGTGAAGTTCTTTTAGAAAGGAGAAATTAAAATATGTAACTTTATTCATAGCAGCCAGGGCAGTGGCTAACACATAGTAGGTGCTCAGAAACTACTTGCTGAATGAGTACATAAATGGAATAATAATTTAATGAAAATGAAAATATCTATTTCCTGGGGGATAAAAAGAATAACGGTAGCGCATCCATGGCACCAACAACCTAGATGGAGAAATAACCAAGCCTGCCCTGGCTGGGTGGCTCAGCTGGTTGGAGCATCGTCCAGTACACCAAAAGGTTACGGGTTCGATTCCCAGTTAGGACACATACTTAGGACTCAGGTTCAATGCCCAGTTGGGACACACACAGGAGGCGATGGATTGATGTTTTGTCTCTCACACTGATGTTTCTTCCTCTGTCTAAAATCTGTAAACGTCCTCAAGTGAGAATTAAAAAATAATAATTACCAATATCTTCAATAAGTTTCATGCCCCAAAAGTCTGTGTAGATGTTTACATCAGCATTATTCATAATGTCCAAAGGCCCACACAGCCTAGACATCCACCAGCTGATGGACAGGCCAACAAAATGGGGCGGATCCGTAACATGGAATATTACTCGGCCGTGAAAAGGAAGGAAGCACTGATACGGGCTTCCGCCGGGAGGAATCTTGACGCTCGCTGGTGTGAGAAACCGGCCCCAAAGCCACATGTCATAGGGTTCTGTTTCTAGGTAATGTCTGGAATGGGAAAATTTGGGGAGACAGGAAGACAAAAAGTAGGTTAGTGACTATTCGTGGGTAGGGTGGGGGGAGATGGTAGCTAAGGGTACGGAGTTTCCTTGTGAGGTGATGAAATTTTCTAAAGTTGATTGTGGTGATGGTTTCACAGCTCTTTGAATACACTAAAAAAACACTGAATCGTGTGCTTTAAACGGGTGAACTGTAGGGTGTGTGAATTATATCTCAATTAAGTTGTTATTTTTAAAAATTAGCCTCCTGTGCCTCTCCCTCCTAATAGAGTTATAACCAATTTCCTGAATTTTGTGTCTGTGATTGTCTTGCTTTTTAAAAAATAGTTTTTGTTTATTTTTAGAGAGCGGGGAAGTGGCAAGAGAAGAGGGGAAACATCAATGTGTGGTCGCCTCTCATGTGCCCCCCACTGGGGACCCAGCCCGCTACCCAGGCACGTGCCCCAACCAGGAATCAAACTGGCGACTCCCCAGTTCGCAGGCTGGCACTCAGTCCACCAAACCACACCAGCCAGGGCTGATCGTTTCGCTTTTTAAAAATATTTCCCACATATAAGCATATCCCTTAACAATATATGTTTAGTTTGCATGTTTCGGGATTTGGTAAAATCAAAATCCGGCACCTCACATTGTCGAACTTGGTTCTTTTTCCCCAGCGTTAGGTGCCCTGTCAATTCAGGCCCATACACAGTCACGGGGGTAAGTAGCTTAATCACCCTGTCCCCTGCCAGGGGACACCGGGGTGTGCCAGGGTGTCGCCAGGGGACAGAGCTGCCGGGAGCATCCTCCCACACGCCTCCAGGAGCACCGGGAGTCCCCTGTAAGAAGAGGCTTTTAAAGCCTTGTTTCACCAAGATCCGCAGGAAGACTGCATGTTCTATGTATCAGCGTATGTAGAGACTGAGGTATATAATAACCAAGAGTCTTGCCAAGGTCCAGGTGAGATACACTCTGATACCTCCTCTTCCCAGTCATTGTCTTTCGTTTACTTTTTCTAGCACCTTGACTGTGTGACCCACTAAAGTGAAGCTGCCCCCCCACCGAGGGGCAGCAAAGCAGTTGTTGGGTTGTGTGTTGCGACCTTCTTCAGCTTTAGCAGAGAAACGATGCAAAACAAAACTGCCCACCGGCAACACACCGGAGTCACAGCCGCTCGACACCTTTTAAAATATTTGTCAGCACGGTGACGTAGCATGAGATCTTCGTTCTCATTTCTACGTTTACTGGACACTCGTATTCAGTTCTGTGAATGGCCCGTGGACGTATTTGTGCACTTTTCTCTTGGGCTAGTTGTCTTTTTCCTATTGATTTGAACAATCATGGACATTCTGAATAGTAATCCTTGGTCAGTTTTTGTCTACAGATCTCTCCCAGTGTTGGTCTGTCTGCTCCCTTACACAGTGGCGTGTTTTGGTAAACAGATAAATAGACGTTCTAACCTGATATAATCAATTTTACCGTTTTGTGTTTTATTTTTTTGTACCCTCTGTGTGTGTATTTATGCACTACAGTGAGATCATGATGTTCTCTATTTCCTTCTAACAGTTTTGTATTTTTGCTGGGGGTGGTTAATTTTAGGGTGAACTTGAGTCTGGGCTAAGGGTAAATTATTTCTGGGAGTTCCTGCAGGGTCGGGCGGTGCAGAAGAGATTAGCATCTGAATCAGCGGACTGAGTAAAGAGGGGCCCTCACCCACATGGGCAGGCGTCCAGGGCACTGAGGGCCCAAGGAGAACGAAAAGGTGGAGAAAAGACAAACTCTGTCTTCTTGAGCTAGCTGGGCTGTGTACCTTCTCCTGCCCTTGGACATCCTGGGTCCCATTTCTCACGCCTTTGAACTCCGGGCTTATCCAGCGCCCCCCCCCACCATATGTCCAGTCCGTTGGCCTCTGACCACACCACATCACGGACGCCCCTGGTCCGGTGCTTGCAGAGGGCGGACCGGAAGGCTGGCTGGCCTCCGGAAGCATGCGAGCCCATTTCTATAACACATCTCACATATCTGCGTCTGTAGCCAGCCCTGTAACCCGCCGGTCCTTTTTCTCTGGGGAACGCTGATGAATACCTTGCCTTGTGCATCTGTTAAAAAACAAACCTCAACTGAATCAATTTGAAGATCTACTTGGCTTCATGAAGCAATTGATGAATCTGGCAAAATCTCATCCGGCAAGTACAGGGGTGCTCTGAGAGGTGGTACAAGGCAGAAGGTCTGTTACAGGTAGAAGGATCGGGCAAGAGAGCTATTGACAAAAGAAAAGAAAGGACCTCTGGTTTTGGAGGGAAAGGGAACATGCACATTGCCTCTTCTTTCCATGGGGTGGGGGTGCTGGTGGATGGAGAGGGCCCGCAGGACAAGTGCCTTACTGGTATTTGACCAGAAACCTGGTAAAGACTGGTTGACTACATTTCTGGGAAAAGGCTGAAGCTGCAAGGAGAGCAGGTGTTAGAGCGAGGTTTGGTCTCCTGGGCGTTTAGCAGGACTGATGATGTCATTGGGACCTGTGGTTTTCCCTCCAACGGGGGGCAGGGGGGTGGCAGGAGCCCCTGCACCCTGAGTGGGAGGCCCAGCCTCCGGCCAGTCCCCAGCCCCTTCGCGTGCTCACCAACCTGAAGTTCCGCAGGTCTCCGGGTTCAGGGGTTTTTATAGGAGATGAAGAGGATGTTCCCACTTCAGCGCCCTCCCTCCTCGCCTTCCCAGAGATCAGAAGGTGAGGCTACAAGGCCCAACCCTCTCCCCCTTCGGTCTTTCTGAGGAACTACCTCACCTGGAGCCATCCAGGGTCTCTATCCTAAGTCAGCTCACGGCGCAAACTCACAGGGGGTTGTTATGAATAACAAAAGATACTCCTATCCCTCGGGAAATTCCGAGGTCTTTAGGGGCTCTGGCCGGGAACCAAGGGCCAAGTCCAGATACATTTCTTACTATGCCACACTCTTCATCCCCTGTCTTGCAATCAGTTTTGCCTTAAAGCCATATTTTCTGATATCATTATAGTAGTTTTGCCTGCTTTTATCTCTATACCAGTTTTTAGTTAGTATTTGCTTAGTATATCTGTTCATTCTTTTAATTTTTAAGTTATTACGTAATTTACTGAACGAGATTCAAAAGTCTTATTTTATTTACACTCTCGAGTTCAAAATTCAGATAATTTCAAGATGCTTACAATTAGGTGTGAGTGCAGGTGAACTCACAGAGAGAAGGAAGTGCAGAAAGTAAAGGTTTTCCTTTACTTTCCCAGCGGAGGGACGGGGCTGGGTGCGGAGTAAGGCCCCAGCACCGCGCTGAGGGGTCGGGCCGGGAGTTTTCATCGGGCGACGGGGCGGGTGGGAGGCAGGACGTTTGGGCTGCGCTGCAGCTTGTCTCGATGGCGGCTTTGGGTGCAGGGTCCTGCCTTGCGTGGTCCCGAATGTCCTGTTTCACAAGTCCCAGGAGCCTCTGCAGCTTCAGGGCGCTCCTGGTAATTTCCTAGTCCCGAGGAGAAAGGCTCCTGAAACAATTCTGGTCAGTCATGCTTCACTCAGGGGGCCCAGCCGGCTCTGGGAAGAGGGGCTGTTGTCTTATTCCTTGCTGTGTGAATTTTTTAACATCCAGAAAGTGCTAGAGAGACGAGTACAGTGACCACCCATTTACCCACACTAGATTAAAACCTTATAGTTTTGTCAAATTTGCTTTAGCTGCATCCCCTTTTTAAATTTGGCCACGCGTTTACATAAGCCTAATACCATTATCACACTTAATAAAATTAATAATTTCTTCATATTACTTAACAACCTGTCAACATGAAAATGGTCCAAACCTGTAAGAGTTTTTTTTATGTGTTTATTGGAGCCAAACTGGCGACCATTGCCCGGAAGCTAAATCTCACCAGATTGAGGAATCGCTCCAGAAAATGGCCGTTTTACCACTTATTTCGTAGGTCGGAATCCAAGGGGAGGCCGTGAGCGGTGATGTGAAGTCAGGGGCGCCAGGTCAGGGACGAGGGGGAGAGCAAAGGGGAGGAGGGCGGTGTCTCCGGGATTGGAGAAGAAGCAAACGGAGAGACTTGCACTTCGCTCGCACAGGTGGGCGAGTGCAGGACATGAAAGGTCAACAGTTAACAGGATCACAGTCAGCCAGGGGGGGTGTCCCCCCGCCCCCGTACTCTTCCCCCCACGGGAAGCTGTGTTGTCAGGTCCAATGTCGTACAAGCAGAAAGAAGGAGACAGATAGGTTCCCTTCAGGCAGAGACTGACCTTTGCTAGGGAAGAATGCGGGCTGGGGACAGGACCGCCTGCGAAACCAGCTTTAGACAGAAGCTTTTCATTCCAGACCGTCCCACGAGGCCACTTGAGGTCTCTGTGTTTGCAAGACTGTCACGCAGGCCTCCCCTGAGCCGGTCAGGTTTCACAGGCAGCCCCTTTTTCGGCCACACCCAAGCTGCATTCGAATTTCCCCGATTATCCCAAATTGCTTTTATAGTTGTTTTTTTTACGTGTAGCATCTCGTCTCCATGTCTTCCGATCTATGACAGTTTTCACACACCCTCCTTTTTCTCCTTGAGAACATTAACTTTTTTAAACCGCCACACCAGTTGTGGTAAATGCCCATCTTTTCAATCCTCGCGTCTTTCAAGTGTATCTGTGTATCTGTCTTTTACTTGGCAGTGTAGCTCATTGATATTCATGGCAATTAGCAATATATTTGGACTTAGTTCTTCCACCTTATTTGGTTGTTTCTACACACTCCACTTTCTGTATGTCGGTTGTTAGTTTATCCTTTAATGGAACTGGGGCTTTTTGCTTTCCTGTGTTTTGAGAATGGAGAAAGAAAAATGGAGTAAGCCTTGCTGAGAGTCCCTGTGGAGGGAGTCGAGCAGCCCGTGGGGAAATGGGTCTCAGGCCTCAGCTCCTGGAAGACAGGGAAGGCGCTGACCTGTCACTAAATTCAGCTCGAGGCCGAACCACAAACCAGCTGGACCCGCGATGGCCGTGCAGACACACAGACTTCACTTCATCATGGTGACCGGGCCGTCCGCGTTCTTCACCTGGAAGGAACCAGTCCATTTCCACGACCAGCATCGCTCATTCACCTCCTGCCTGACCAACCCCCACCCCACCCCGGGAGGCGGCCACGCCCCTTACTTCCCCGGACCTTCATGAGAACCGCTCTGCTGGTTCTGCCCTTCGTAAGAAGAACCCTGCCTTTCTCAGCTCCCTTTGGAGCCCAGTTTAAATCGTTACTGGAATCCGTGTCCCAGATTATAATCCCTCCTTTGCTTAAATCGACATATTTCTATTCTTGATTACAGTCTGAACCTTTCTTTGGTTTGTTCAGAGTTTATTTTCCCTCACTCCCCTTTTTCTCTGTAATTCATTGGGAGGTTTCACTTCATGTGTCCCCAGCGCCTTTGTGCCAGGTGAGGGAGGGGCGTCAAGAGACCCACCCTCTGAGTTTGCCCTGTGTCCCTTGGGTTTGGGGAGCTTGAGAAATAGAGTTCAGATAACAAAGGACGCTGCACTGGGAGAGAACTGTCTTTACGTCACACGGGGCCACGGGCTTGTGTGCGGGTTTGCCCGGAGCCAGATGTGGGCCCGGCAGCAGGGAGCCGGCGAGGAGCCACTTCAGGTCCTGGGAGCCCAAACCCCCCTGACAAAATCGGCCGCCGGAAAGAACAAGGAGCCTTACTAACCACAGCTGTACTTCGGCCACCATGGGGGACGGTGACACTGAGGGACGATGACCCCCGGAAAGAGTGTCTGCTCTTCCTGTAGCCCAATCAAAGGCTCATCTCGACAGTCCCAAAGCGATTGATCGTTTTCACGCCGGGAGGTTCAGCAGCAACTCAACCTTCTCTTTCCTGTGCACCCTCTCGATCCAAAGTTACGATCAGACGGCCTCGGAAGCACATGCACCCTGTGACTTCTAGTGCCAAGGGCACCTTCGCTCATTCTTCTGTCCCCGTAAATCCCTCTCACTTCCCCCGGTCGGAGGGCTGTGTCTGGGCTAGCCCTCAGTAAGTCCTACATAAAACTCTTCTCTTAAATTTACAGATTCCGTGTTCTTTTCCTTGACAGTCCTGTCGGGGATGATTCCCCTGACCACCGGGGCTGACGAAGGAAACATTCGCGGTCCCAGCAGAGGATTTATGGGAAATGCATGAAAGCCCCTTTCTGAAAAAGAAATGTTATACCTTGAACATCTGCCAAGCCCAGAAGGCCCACCCTGGACGGCTGGGCAGCAGGGAGGCCAGGCCTGGCCCTTCGGCCTGCCACACGCCCACCTCAGAAGGGGGGAGGCAACCTTGCACCATGTGACCCGGCCCCATCAGGGCAGAGCTGAGGGCCCTGGTGGGGTCATCTGACCCAACGGCAGCCAATCGGTAGGCTGAGCTAGGATGTAGCGAGCTGGGCTAATCAGATTCTCTCTCCTTGAACTTGAACTGGGAGCACCCAGTAGGCAGTGGGAGGGATGGAGCTGAGCTGATGCGGGAAGCAGGGGACACAGGAGGGAATGTGGGGTCAGAGAGGTGGGGGGTGGTCGCAAGCCCCAGCGGGGAGGAAGCCACAGTCCCAGGGCCGGGGGTGGTGTGCGTGGAAAGAACAGGGCTGTGGAGAGACGTGCAGAGCAGAATGGCAATAAGGCCGGTTTTAAGATTGGCAAGTTTCCTTGCTGATATACTGAATTTCCTTACGGCAAAGGTTTGGTTTCGGTTTGTTTTTAACTCCAGTGAACATCTGTGGCCTCCAGCTGCTGAATCTGGAAGCCGCCCCGGGTCCAGTTCTAGGCCAAAGTCCTGGCTGGCCCACGGTTCCTGCTCTTGGCTATGAGGCCGCTCTATGTGCCCTGCAGCCCAGGTACATCCTCCCAACCGGAAATGCCCATTGCTTGAGAAAACAGGAGCTGGACTCTGCTTCCTGCAAAGTGAAGAAAGCAGCCTGCAAAGAGACAGTGAGAGAAAAGCAGCAAAGGGCCAGGGCACAAACCGGCAGGAACACGGCGGGGCTGTGCCTTCAACGGACTTCACGCCAAGCAGTTCTTGCTACATTTTCCCCAATAAAAACCTCCTTTTATTGGGCTTTATTTAATTCTGTGAAAATAAGCCTTATTATAAAAACAGAGTGAAATCCATAAGCCACGCCTCAGGACCTCTAGCCAAACAAGACCCCTGACGTGTGGAGTCACTGCTGGCAGGACAGTCCCCTCGACTCATTGCTTCTGTTGCTTGTTTCTTGATAACATGACTCCGATGAGGCCCAAGGCTGCCATGCCCACTCCTGCGATGCCAACCGCCATGACGGCATCTCTGACCTGCAAGAGAGAGGACGGTGGTCAGACTCCATGTCAGGAACGGAGGGCAGGCTGGACACTCAACTAGGACATTGGGCTCAGAGAGCCTCCCAGGCCCCTTGGCCTCCTTGACAAACTCGCAAGTCAACAAACATTGGCGAGGAGATGGGTGGGGAAAGAACTGATGGATGGAGCCAGCTGGCCAGGAATGCGTATGGGCTTGAAGAGGGAAACTCGCACCACCCCGTGGGCACTGACAGCACATGAGCCCCCAGAGGGTGACTGTGGAAAGGGCAGGGAGACGAAGCCAGCAGGGCCGAGATCCTGGCTGGCCAATGGGGAGCCCGGGAAGCTAGGATGACATCACGGAGGAATTGCTATTGCTCACTCAGTAACCTACGACCTCGTGAGGGCCTTGTTTACCTCTGTGTCCCCGGCACCCAGCCGGCCGAGGAGGCTCTCTGTATGTGTTCTTAAATAAGGACCCAACCGTAAATAACAGTGATGCTATACTTTGGAAGATTAAGCTATATAACTTGCATTGCTTGTACTACCAAAACAAAGTTGCAAAAGGAAGAGTAGGGCTCAAGGTAAAAATTGGACATGTGTTGAATTTTGCTCCTTCCTGGAACCCAGTTAAAGGTAAAGTGGGATGTTGTCTGAGGGGCAATTCCACAAGGACGCGGAGAGCCCTAAAGTCCAAGGCAGCAGCGGGAAAAGCTGAGGACTGGTCACACAGTGCCCGCCAAAAGTAGGTTTACGAGTATAGGTGTGAGTACACAGAACACAGAGTTTATTCTTGTTAACTTCTTATTAACTAGTTATTGTACTATTTTTCTATGCAAACAACTGTCATCTACCTTTGCCCCACCCTGCACTCAAACAACAGAATCCTTGAAAGAGATCACTTATTGACAACACCAAGTACCTAAGAAATGGCAGAGAGCAAGACTTTAGCTAGGACCCCGGGTGTCCTCCCTAAATGACATTGGAAGTCTGAAGTTCATTCTCTGGAGCAGGTAAAACAGATCTGGGGTCTGGAGACCTAGAAGCACATGTGAGGACAGAGTGTCATGCTGAAAACTGGGGACCGAGAGACCGTAAGCAAGCCCACTTGCACTGGGACTCTTGGCCCTCCTAAACCTCTCCGCGCCCAGAACTTTACCCTCTTTACGAGTCAGGCAAACTTTTCTGCAGAATCCCACCAGCCCAAGTGGAAACAAAAGATGTGAACCAACCCTGAGGGTCCCCAAACAGCCCGCCCAGACCACCCGAAAGGGAAGCTCGGAGCCAACCGGCTGCCGCCCCTCCCGGCCCCTCAACCCGAAGCAAAGCCTGACCCTTGGCTGCGAGCACACGACCGACCCCCCGACACGCGACACAGACGAGAGCGAAGCAAAAAGAACGAAAGGAATCGGGAGAAACGGCCACCACGTGCAGAAACAAAGGCACCTTCCGCAAAACTGCCATGAAAGAATAAGACAACATTTTATCCTATAAATGAAAATACAGTGCTATAAAAAAATTAAATGTTAAGAGAATGAAAACAGTCCCTGAAATAAAAGTACAACCGAAACGACAAAGTCAATAAAAAATGTTGAAGAGAAAGTTGAGGACATCTGTCAGACTAAAGAGCAAAAAGATAGAAAAACCAAAGGCAGAAAATAGGGAGTAATCCAGGCAGGCTGGTGTCTGAATAACGGCCCTTTCAGAAAGAGGTAACAGAGGAAACGCAGAGGCGGGAACTCAAAGGGAGCAAGTCCTGAAAATTCATTAGGGCCAAAGGACGTGTGTCTTTAGACGGACATGGCTCCCAGGCCCGTCTCCACGGATGGAAGCAGACCTACACCAGGGCGCATCGCTGTGTCATTTAGAACTCGGGGTGAAGGACAGACGTCACAACTGCTGGCGCGGGGGAGAAAAACGGGGTCAGAGAAAGGGTCAAGAGTCGGGCTTGGGAGCAAGAAGACAATGGAACGATGCCTGCAAAGTTCTCAAGTAAAACTTTCTAGCCTAGAATTCTATACCCAGGCCAACTACCAAGTTGTGCTGAGAGAACGGGGGAGAGAGAAGGGATGCAGGGATTAAAAAGCTTAATCTTCACTTACCATAAAAAGAAGTCAAAAGAGCACGTCTAGACATTTTGAATAAAAAGATAGTAGTATACACACCTTGCTTAGAAATTCGAAAATAGGTAAATGCCAAGACTAATAACTAAAAAGGAGAGAAGTGGCTGCCTTCTGGAATGGGGACTGAGAGAAAAGAGAGGGTGGGGGAGGGAACCCGTGTTTTGTTGTGTCTTCGAGGGCTGGTTGTCTTTTCAAAATGTGTGTGTTACTTGGGAAAAACTAAAAGTTAAGTTTTAAAAACTCTTCCGGAGAAAAAGAACAAAAGCTAAAGTAGTAGAGGCATAGACTGTAAGCTGATCCAAAACCTCACCGCACCTGCTAACTCCAAATGGCAACCAACACCAGGTCCACAGCCGTGAAAAGCAAGACAGCAACGGAACTGTCCCAGCGTCGAGGCAAGGGCTACCGGCCGCGGTTTTAGGAAGACAAACAATTACACATCCCAGAAAACAGCCACTAGAAAAAGGTTCCTAATCTATTTCGCAGATAACGGTGCTGCCACAAAGATGACAGAGGCCACTGATTTCTGACATTTGGTTTTGTCCAGCGAAGGGTCACTGCATTGAGAGGACACACACACACAAGTGAGATCCATCCTTCACTCTGTGTGAAACATTCCCCTTTACCTTTGATCTCTGACCTTCGATCTGGTTTATCTCAAGTGCCTAAGAGTACACTGAGCAATGCTGTTGACATTTCAGATTTCGGGGATCTGTCTACTTTTAGTATAAGCTTTAAGGAGTTGGACGTGGTATTCCCAACTCTTCTTCTTGCACCTCACTATTCAAGTACATTGGATGCACACAACTATTTGCACAGACCTCAAGGACCTGACAAGTCTGCCACTGAACTGAAACGTGGTGGCCATGGACTTGAGCCCCAATGGCACTGAGAGCTTCAGATTCTGTGCAGATGAAGGGCCTGTCGGTGAGGGCTGGGGATACATTCTGAAGCTCAGAAACCATTTCCGTTACAGAGGTCTGCAGCCCAAATTGCTGTCCAGCTGGAAGGCCAGTCCCTGATGGCCCTCCCCCCAGCTTCCTCCCCAGTGTCCTGTCTATCCACGGTTCCAGCGCCTCGGGTTCTGCCAGGCGCAGCAGCAGCAACACCGCAGATAACGAAACTGAGTGGAAGCGACGCAGGTCAGCGAGCAGCAGCAAGAAAGCCGGGCCTCTCCCCATTCCAGTGTTATCCAGGGCCCGCTCTGGGGCCTCCGGCTCCTGCGACAGAGCAAAGGCAGAGCAAACTCTCTCCCCCGCCCACAGCAACTGTCCCCAGGGAGGGCACACGGCTGAAGCCAGCAAAACCCTGCTTGTCCCCACCAAGGGCGCAGAAGGGCGTCAGGAACACAGCTCAAGAAGCCGCACCGCAGAGCCAAGCCAGGCACTTAAGCAGAATCCAGAACAGTGACGAAAAAGATTCTTCCTCATTTTATGCCAAGACATCCAATGAAGACAGGACACCACGAATCCCAGGAATAAAAAGGATGGAAACGTGGACTCGAAACCCAAACCCCACATCCTTACACGGCGTGGTCCACGTTGCCCTTCCTGCTGCACCTGCGGAGTCCCCTGGGTTGTTCATGTTGTGGCTGCCACAGCCCCTGCGTGACCAAGGCAGAGACAAATGTGGAGGTCTTTGAAAAGTGCGTTCAGTGTAGCTACGTGAGACGTCGGTGTAACTAACGTCACAAGCCCCCCACCACTGGTGTTCTTAGCAGCCAGAACACACGATGCCAAAATGGGATGAAGCTACCAATCTGAAGCTTGGCCGCTCTTCGGTTTTCAAACCTTCCCTCAAAGAGATAATCAGCCACAGCTTCGTGGCAGCCACGGTTCTGCTGGGGTGACTCACTAGGAAACCTGTGTACGGCCCCCAGTGTCCAACGCTTTCCTGGCTCGGCTCTGTGACGGGGTGGGAGACGTGGACTGCAGATGACGGAAAAGGCACACTACGCCCCTAGTTCCTCACAGAACCTCACGGTGGGAGGAGAAATGCTGATGCAACCGCTGCGGCCAAAAACTCTTTGTCAAGGAGAACCACAGCGACCCCGCTGTTTGCGGCCATGCTTGTGCAGAGTCCAGGAGCGTAATGAAGCACAAGAAAGTGGTGTGCAGTTAGTCCTGGTAGTGCGAACTTTACAGGGAAAGTGAGATGCCCGAGAGTCGGTGCTTCTGCAGACGCCCTTGGTGGTTCCCGTGTGCGAGGCTGGTGAGTCCCGCCCAGCCACTGCGCCGAAAGGCCTGGCGCCCTGATCGTGCACGCGGGCCCCGAGGTGTGAGGCACAGGCCTCCAATCGGAGTCCCGTGGAAGAGAAAACTGTCCCTCATTAGAACTGCTAAGATTTCTCTTTTTTTTTTACATGGACAAATTGAAATACGATCAGACTACAGAAAACTTAGCTGTTTATGCCACACAGCATCTCTGAGCTCAGCCCCAGAATTGTTTCTGGGAAAAGAAATTCTAATGTGCTTTCTTCAAATTCCGTAATGTTCTCAATGGATAAAAGAAAAGCATTATTCTAAAAGCAATTTAATTTTGACTATGAGAAGTTATAAAATAAAAATGGGTATAAAGTATTTATATGGCAATTTGACTTTAATATGTAGAGCAATGTAAAAATTACCCTGATTTATGTAATATATGCATTACCATTGGCCGCATCTTTAATTCCTACTTTTTAAAGACTTTATTTAGTTTTTAGAGAGAGGGGGAGGGAGAAAGCGAGGGAGAGAAACATGTGAGCACTGCATTGATGGTTTGTCTCCCCCACAAACCCCACTGGGGACCTGGCCCCACAACGAAATACATGCCCTGACCGGGAATCAAACCTGCAACCTTCTGGTTCCCAGCTCTGTGCTCAATCCACTGAGCCGCACCAGCCCGGGCTTC